ATAAGTGCATTTGAAGAGAAATAAGTTGGAAAATAAATCACTTTTTCATATGTTGAAACTTGAATATCAACATTAAGACAGACAGAAACAGCATCCAAGGAAATACTGCTCAACCCTGCAGTTGACAATCTAAGATAGTCTCTGTGTTTACTATATACACCGATTGTATGAGCACATGGTTCAGATTTTGCATACCGACCTGGCTAGTTTTGCATTTCTATTTGGGAATGCTGGAAAATGTTGGGGAATAGGAAAATGTAGATTCTAACTAGTCACCTCCAGTCTCCTCCGGACTCTGGCCTGTGGATTGAAGCATTCTAAGAATGAGACTTTGGGAGAGCACAGAAGAATTTGCAAGTAGTGAACTGGGAAGATGTACTGCATTCCACGTTCACTAGGCATTAACATCCAAAGATTGAGTGAATGATTGGAATATTGGGTGAGAAAGGTTTGGCTCAACCTGCTTGGTTAATGGGTAGACTCCTGGCCACAGGACGAGCAGGCTCGAACCCCATTCAGAAGGAGTGAAGCAAGGGGCAGCCACAAGACAAAGATGGTGTGGAGGAGAGATGCCTGAGACCAATGTAAAGGGAGCAGTTAGAGTTCAGCTCTGTGGTAATGGTGATGAGGTGCAACTTTGTGAGACTTCGTCTTCAGTTAATAACTCCCATTTAATTAAAGAAGGATGAACATACTACAGGAATAATGTAGGCTTAAGATACATTCAGTGTAAAAAGCCATAATATACTGTACAGTAAGCTATACATCATCTTATTAGGAACAACTTCTACTTGGGCAGATGTAAGTAGTTATGTTCAGCAATTTATTTTCTCATTATTGCTCACCCTGATCTGTATCAACAAATTAGATTCTAATGTAATTATCAGAATTGTAACATTTATTAGAGGCAAATTAGAGAGAGTGTCAAACAGAAATAGCAGCAAGGGATTAGTAAATGGACAAAATCATAGAAGGGCAGATTTGGCCAATAAAATGTAACACTGGTAAGTGTAGAGAGGTGCATTATATTAGTAAGAATATACACTATACACATCACATGGGTGATTCAGAGCCACAGGAAAATACAAAAGGTTATCTGAGTATTTACTGTGTATAGATTTTCAATGTCTACATCAAAATAGCGTAGATAACCAATAAAATGCTAACAGAATGTTTGGTTATACGGCAAAAAATGTAAAATATAATCCAGTGGGTTATACTTTATCTTTACAATGCACAGTTAAGTCCACATTTAGAATATTGTTTTCAGTGTTGGTTTTCATTGCAGAACAAGAATGGCACAGCCTTAGAAAGATTACAAAGAAGAGCAATAAGAATAATTCTTGTCCCAGGGGATTGTCATGCTAAAAGAGATAACTCTATTCAGTCTAGAAGAAAGGAAATCGAGAGGAGAGTTGATCCAAGTACATAAAATCATAAGGGGAACAGGTAGTCACATGGGCAGATTATTTTCTACTCTATATAAACAAGAACACTGGGTCATATCTGGAAACGAAAAGAAAAGACATTTAGGAATGGAGGAAAAGAAACAAAAGTGTCACAAAGTGTCAGGGGTATCTGGAACTGGCTCCTGGAGAGAAATCTCTTTTCTCTCTTCTTTTCAGAAACAGATGACAACATCTTAGACTCAATTATCTACTGATGGGCCTAATGGGCTCATTTTTCTTATTTGAAATTTACACAATATTGAGATTTGGACACTAATGGAAATATAGCACTTGACACTGTTATAACAGAAAGAGTCATTAAGACATGAGAAAAACCTATCTGAGAAATGAGAAAAGCAGGTTAAAATAAAGGTAATAAATGTTCACTGAAACTGTACATGAAGCCATCTACAGTACAAGAAACACACATTTACACATTATATCAAAGCACAATATGATATGCATTGAGTGGAAGGCATTGAGGCTAATTTGTGGGTTGTTAACTGAGCAGTACTTACTGAACAGTGCCTTCAGTTATCTGAATAATAATAGGTTATTTTAGGGAATCTAAGATCCTAATAGTTGTATTAACAGACAATTATTTTTAAATAAAAACATAGTAGTGTAACAATAGTAGTTTTTTGCTTAGAAGATCAGTTTATTTCTATCCATGAGGAAAACTCATCACAATGCTAGAATAAGATGGTCAAAGTGACTGATTTCTACACTACGTAGAACATAAAATGAAGAAGGTTACTTAATCCAAAATGCTTGACACGACATTTGGTGAGGCGTTACACAACGGTATGGCCACATGCTATCCCAGAGGTCAGCACAAAGGCGCAAAGATTGCCTGCGGTACCCCCTATAAAAAGTATCTCAACACCTGAGAATATGATGCTTGCGAGAAGAGCTGCTGTCACCAGGCCCCTGATTTATGATTAAACTCAATGTATGTAATTATAGAGCCAAATAGAAAGACCTGGTTAACCAGCTCCGTTTGAACGGGTGGAGAGTGCGGTGTGGGCCGGCGGAGGATTGGTGTGGGCTGCAGAAGATTGGGAGGTCAATCCCTCTGTTGAGTCTATGGTCTTTTTGGCATAACAGGGGTGAGCAAGTGCAGCGGAGCTAGTTTAGACACGGTGACGTCAGTGCCTTCCCTGTGCGTAGCAGGGACCTCCGCCGCCTGGGCTGGGGGAGGTCTCCTTTAGCTCACTCGGCCGGCTCCCTGTTGCGTTACGCCGGAGACCCGGGTTCGCGCCGCGGGTGTTGTGGGACGAACCGGCGCGGTGGAGCAGCGACAGTCACACAAGACCACCATAGAGACTGCAGAACTGCAATTGACATCCACTCAATTACCCATGATTTTTATTCTATCTCAAATACTAAGACTCTTTACATTTTTATCAGTATTCACAATGTAGCTGCATTTCCTTTTGATGGTGCAACTCTCCAACGTACTGTAAAAACAGTAGCTGACGGGGCTCCAACTAAGAATGTATAAGAGAAGGTTAGCTTCAAGATGCATGCAAACTGCATGTAATTCGTGAAAACTACGTGCCATGTCTCACTGTAGACTTAGTTGGTAGTAACTGTATGGAAATACATAACATGTTTATTTGTAATACCCACATGAAACTATTTATATAAACATTCAACAAACTCCACAGTCTAAAATTACTTTGCTATAAATTACTGATTAGCAATTAATCACCCATCCATTCATCTCAATTCAGGGTCACAGAGACTATCCCGAAAAGCAACAGGTGCAAGGCGGGATACACCCTGGATGGGATACCCAGGGCAGGGCAGACACAGACACAAACTCAGACATGCGCTACAATGACTTAAAAGTTCTGTTCCTCTGTCATTGTGCTTCAACTATACTTCAACACTGTGTAGCAGGTTCAATGCCACATGTTCTTACTGTATATTTGAAACATTAGAAATGAGACTGATGCCAGCGAATACAGAACAGTAGGGTAGCAAAACTGTGGTTTATTTCTCAAAGGATGAACTGGTTAGAACAGAAGAAAAGACACTTTTATCTGGTAGCAACCACTAACAGTTCTCTACATAAATATTGAACTGGAAGCTTCTTTAGGCATGTTGATGAGATAACTGAGAAAAGATCAAGTACAGTATACATATACTATTGCCTCATAGGGTGTCATTCCGTCTTAGGAACAAAAGCAGAGATATTTTTGGTAGATGTAGAGTGATAGACAAGAAAAAAAAATACTGTTTACGAAGGCAGTATGTATAGGTAATGCCATGACAGCATACTTGTCCTTCATAGATTCAATATTAATGTATTACATCTGTTCAAAGGATCTCAAATGTTACTCATAAAAGATATCTTATCACCATTTCACTGCTAGAAAATGTAAGACAGTTCAATACTTTCTGAAGTAGCTACTCTAAATTTTATTTGCAGGGTCTTTAGCTAAAAGCCTTTAGCTTCACAAAAGGCTTTTGCTTAAAACAAGCATAAATTATTATCTCTGAGGTTCTATTTCTGTTACCCGTGTTCTTGTTTTTTGCTTCAAAATTTGCAGATTTTTGCTTCAAATGTGAATGACTTAATGGGTGAAATATACCTGAGTGGCATCTTTAAGGTGGAATGATGTTTTATTATGTAGTTCTGCCTTCAATATACTGTATATTTGAATTTTATTTGACTTGTGTAAAGTATAAATTTGAATTGAAAGGTACAGTATTTCTACAGTATATGTAAAGTAATTTGGGGCTCTTTGTAATTAAAATCGTTTTATATAGTGAAATCATTATTAATTATTTTATTTTATGAACATATCCAGTGCATCAGTGGACCACTTTGGTGTACCTACTTCTATTTTTACCTTACTAAAAGTCGCTTGTATTTTTTTGGGGGGGAGATAAGCCATGTGCGCAACTGAGCAAAATATAAATGTCACATGGCTCCCAGTATTATCTTCCATGTATGAGATCTCAAATAAACCGAAGTTACAGATGGAGTTGCGATTATCATTATGTGGCCGTTAGTATGGAACCGGACACGATATGCATATGAATAAACTATATACTGTATTTTCAGTTGCAAAGTAAAGGACTGTCTTCACTGATTTTTAAAGTATGAGGTACATACTGTAAATGTTTTAAAAAAAAGGGTTTGACTGTATACCCTAATTTTAAAGTTCTCTTACATCTGCACCAATATTTTGGTCGATGTAAAAAACCATGCTATTATTTTTTAAAAAGGTGTATAAACAAGCAAAGGGGGGGTGTTTTGCATTTTAACCTTCTTCTATTCACCTAGAAGTGTCAACAATTTATAATATTGTAACGCAACGGGGGCTCAATATCCTCGAAGCTAACAGCATTGGTAAACTTCTAAAAACAGTCATTTCTATGTATGGCAAACCTGAACAAGTGAGACCTTTGGACTTTATGCCGGGGGAGGAATTTGATCTGCACTCAAATTACGGTGGTTTACAAACATGGAATGCACTATTTTACCAGCTCTAAACGCTTACGGGCGTACTCTGTAGGGTCAGCCAGTGTTTCTCTTACCTTAATATTGGGATATGATCCCCTTCATCTTGACAGTTAATAGATGTTGATTTTGTCTCCGTATTCAGGTGATATCCCGTCAGAATTACTCCTTCCGAATCTTGCTGTCGGTTCATGGTGCAGGTTGCATTATTCCTTTAATCTGCAGTCGATAACAACACAAAAGAGGACTGAATAATAAAGTTCTCTGCGACAGCAACATGAGTAATCATCGTGTAAGCTCCTCCCAGTGTTCCTGTCTTCGGCCTGATACAGCTGGGCGGAGTTATGTCAAAGTTCAGGAGAACCAGCGAAATGCGAATATGAACCGTATTCGGATTCCTAGCTTTCTAAGAACACTTTTCTGTCGTTTTTTTGTTTCGCGACATTCACTGGTATTATTCATAAGACGAGTGAACATATAAAATGAACGTGTGAACATAATGATTATTTCACCAATAAACGGTTTGTGTAGCATCACGGAACTCTAAAGCCGTTACCTTGTGCAGTGGCAGGTACTTGCACAGTTTATAGTAATAAAAGTAATAAACTCGCTTTAGACAGCGGTACAGCATATTCACTCGATTGTGCCAGCTTTTACATTTACTGAAATACCAAATTCACCCAGATGTTATACCATTCAGTCTAACTAGCCACTCAAGGTCTTGTTGTCTGCTTAACCTATATGCTACGTTGTTTTTAAAATGATTTTACGTTTTTCTTCGTCGCAACAACGTACTTGTTTGACCTGTTGCGACCGTTAAGCAAACTGACCAGCTGTTTTGCTGGGTCAGATTAATTCGTGTGGGACACTTCAGGTTAATATTTTTTTTTATATAATTCAACATTCATTTTTTCTCTTAAATCTTCTGACCACAACTACAGTATATGGCAATCATGATTATATATTAATTGCTCTATTTAAACACAAGACCATTGTGACATCATTGTGACTGAAAAAGTGATATTGGATAATAAGTGAAATACAGTTGTACCAGCTTTTATCACACTGTACAAGCATTGGAGTCAACATTTACAGATTGGAATTTTCATTATTAATAGTACAAACAGTAGTTTGTATAATTTACAGACATCCCTAATATAAAGAAAAAACATAAATATTTCCTGAACTTTATTCCCTTTCTGTTCAGAAAAAAGGTAGGATTAGCATTTACTGTACTTTTCTTAAGCCCAAGGCCAATAAATCTGATGCCGTGCCTAGTATGTGAGCTACTAGATACCAAAAGGGTGCTTTTAATTTGAGTTTAATGTGATTTAACACAATGTTACACCAAATGTCATTTTAAAGTTTAGTTTACTCTTAGACTCTCAAAGTGTGCTCATTAAGAAAGATAGCTTTAAAGGACATGTCATTCACAATGATTTTACCACCAGGCAGGTGGAAATAAACAACAGTTTTATATTCAGTATGTTAAAACATGGTTGACACAGTGGCACAGTAGTTAACTTTGCTGCCTGTCAGTGCTGGAGCCCTGGGCTCAATTCCAGAGGTGCTCACTGTGTGGAGTTTGTATGCTTCCTCTGGGTGCTCCAGTTTCCTTCAACAGTACAGAGAGGTTAATTGTCTTCTGGGGAAAACTGGCCCTGGGGTGTAGAAGCTCGTTTCCAGCACGGAATAAAAAAAAAAAAACGTGCTATGTATCTTTGTATCTCAGAATGATGACTTTGTATCTCAGAATTGTGACTTTTTATCTCACATTTGTGACTTCAAAATAGCCCACATTTCATTCTCTGTCCTTTTGTTATTGTAACAGATCCGGGTTCTAGGGCTTGTGCCCTCGCCGCTTCCACCCTAGTTCGTGCCTCACTGCATGGACTCGCACCCAGGTCTTGCCAGCTGAGCTATAGACCTTCTGTAGCCCCTTCGGCCAACATCCCAGTTACGCGCAGGGGAGGGCGGTGCTGTCACCACACTGCAACCAGATCGTACAGCCTGTATGTCGGCCGTTCCGTTACACTTTATTCGTGAATCTTACTGGAACCTAGGATCTATAGGCCTGAAGACTTGTCTTGTATAGTGCCCTGATACAAATCAAATTAATTACAGTCGTTTTTATGGAATCCCATTTCCGCCAGCGAGGCTTCCATAGCACCCAGATGGAATAGTGCACGGTGGGCTTTTTAAAAAAGTTTTTATTTGAACACCAGAAATAAGGAGACAGAATATGAAAAAAGATACAGAAATAGACACTTCATAACCAGAGGAATTCACAATTATAAAATTCCATTCCATTTCATATTTCCATTGTACAGTATGTCTTGCCATTTGATTCTTTACATTTCTAATAGAATTTAAGTAAAAAAGGAATTGTACTTTATAAGCATTAACAGAGGGAGCACTATTAGACCATTTACCATTAGACCCTTTTGTGGATGAAGTATTTCGCCAACATATTTAACAGATTAATAATAAGAACATATCCTTTATCCAAATCAGATCTAAATATAAAAATATAAAATATCAAAATCTTTAAATTTAACATTTACCTTTAATTGTTTAACAGTAACATTTGGGAAATCTATCCAAAATGATTTTGGTACAATTCCTGTTTTATTTAAAAAAAGAAGGTCTTTTTTAGCTGAGCTGGCAAGACCTGGGTTCGGGTTTTTAAGTCCCAATGTATTCTAAGATATGAAGTCGCAATTGTGAGATACCATAGCGCGTTTTTTTTTACTCCCTAGCGGAAATGGGCTTCCATACTGGTGTGAGTGGGTTTGTGTCTGTGTCTGAGTGTGTCCTGTGATGGACTGGCATCCTGTCTTGTGCCTGCTGCTTGCTGGGATAGTCTCCAGTTCCCCCACAACCCTGAAATGGATGTAGTGGTTAGAAAATTGTTGGATGCTAAAACGTCTATGTGATTTTCATGCAAAGCTCTGAGCTTTCATTGTCTACAGTATGTCTATAGCAGCCACATTGGCACCTTACAGTCAGATCTTGTCAGATCTCAGAAGCTAAGCGAGGCCGCACCTGATAAGATCTGGATATACTAAAGACAAAATGGGTTGCTTTCACAAGTGAAGCTGGTGGGACTGTAATTAGCATTCTTTACCTTGGATATCAATATCCAAAACTAAAAGAAAAACTCCCCAAATTCCCCTGGAATGGTGACCAGGAGACACTGTTCTACAGTAGGTTTCATTAGGTATGTGATTGGCTGGCCAAAATAACCGACAGGGGCACTCATGGTGCATTGGTCGTTAGTGAAAAGATTTAATCATTTAATCTCTTTACTGTGCGCATTTTAATCCACTTAGTATTGAATATTTATATGGAATTTTACAACTAAAGGGAAATTTTAGTAGCTGAGCATAAAAAAAAGAGGAGCATAACGCATCTGACGATCATAAACGATATTAGTTCAGTAACGTAAACATATTATGTAAACTGTTTATGGCTGGTATTGGTAGTTTAAAGAGAAAATACACACCAGTATTCCACTTTCTTCCTAAACATTTTAAGCATCAAAGCGATTATTTGTGAAAAGTGAAAAGTTTTTACTTGCTCCTTCTGACCATATTAAGTTTATAAACTGTACTTCATGAAAACTCCTAATGTTTTAACCATTTCTGCAAATGTTCATGTTATCGGAGTAAACAAAAGTATACTTTTGGAAATGGATTAATAGGGAATATAATATGGAATTGCATATGATAACTGGGGTATTATATGGTAGAACGCATTATGACGCGTGTGATGCGGCACGACCACCACGTTTTCCGGCTGCATACCCCGTTCATTTTGAAGGGCTGCATCTGAAAATAAATGCAATTAATTATATAGTGGGAGGTCAAGTTCACACTCCATCTTTAAAATCAATGAATTTCAGAAAAATCAAAAGCATATTAAAATATGAGCACATTTTTCTCAATGACAATGACACAAATCCATAGGTGGTCAGCTATCATTGAAACCACACAGAAGAGGTTTCCAAATAAGATGTGGGTCTTGAGAAAATACTCACTCCTTCCAATGATGTACCATTTTGTTGAATTAGAAATAATTTTTTTCAAGCTTTTCCTCAAAAAGTGAATATTCAAACTTATTCAAACACAATATAAGTGAAATATGTTAAATGTCAGTAGAGTTAAAGTTTTAAAAAAAGCAGTGAAAAATTAAAAATAGGAACAAATTACTATATATAGATATCATCCAAAAGTAGTTGAGTCCCAAAATCCTGCACTGAGTGTCAACTTTTTTTTAAGTAGTATGGGAATGCTAACCCTGACCCTACCTGGGGAGTCAACTGGGCATTTCTGCGATCTGTATCTGAGCCTCTCTGGGCATCGGATTTTGACATGTTCCCCAAACCTTAAGGTATTAGGGGGAAACAATCCAGACCGTTTATCAAAGATCTTGAAATCAAATGAGATTCAGTCATGCTTGGTGACAACTGTTGATCCCTCTGACTCAGTTTTAGGATACAAATACCGCAAGGTACAGTACACCGCATCACCCAGTCCCCAGAGAGTTTCTGAAAAAAAAACTTCATAGAGAGCTACAAAACCACCTAACATAATCCTGACTTGGGCCCCATAATCCAACACTGATCTTAAAACTTGTCTAAGTAGTGTGTGAGTGCTAACCCTGACCCTACCTGGGGTGTAAAGTGAGCATTTTCACAATCTGTGTCTGAGCCTCTCTGGGCATTGGATTTTGACATGTTCCCCAAACATAGAGGTATGAGGGGGAAACAATCAAGACCATTGATCAAAGCTCTTGAAATTGAATGAGATTCAATCATGCTTGGTGACATCTTTTAATTCCACCGACTCAGTTTTGGGATGCAACAACTGCAAGGTGCACGGTGCCACCCAGGCCCCAGATAGTTTCTGAAAAAAAAATTCAGATAGGACTACAAAACCACCTGTCCTAAACATGAATTGGGCCCCAAAGTCCAGCACTGAGCTTAAAAACTGTCTAAGTAGTGTGTGAATCCTAACCCAAACCCTATCTGTGGTGTCAACTAAGCATTTCCGCGATCTATATCTGAGCCTCTGTGGGCATCAGATTTTGGCATGTTTCCCAATCCTAAAGATATGAGGGGGAACCAATCATGACCATTGATATAAGCTCTTGGAAGTAAATGAGATGCAATAATGCTTGGTTACAAATTTTTATCTGACCGACTCAGTTTTGTGATGCGATTAACACGTGGTGCAACATACCATCCAGGTCCCAGAGTGTTTTTCCAAAAACAAAATTCAGATAGTAGCCAAAAATCACTCGTCTTGGGCCCTAAAATCTTGTGTTGTGTTAAAAAATTGTGTAAGTAGTGTGTGAATACTAACACTAACCCTCGCTGTGGTATCAACTGAGCAGTTCCCCAATTTATATCTGAACCTCTCCAGGCATCGGATTTTGACATGTTCCCCAAACCAAAGACTATGAGTGTGAAACAAAAGCATTTTCAAACAAAGCATAACAGAAGCATTGATAAAAGCTCTTTCAAATTCCTAAGATTCAAACAAGATTTTTGACAACTTTTGATCTGACTGACACAGTATTGGCATACACAATTACTGAATGGTGCACCGCACGTTCCAAGCTGGCAAAAGTGTCAGAGAAAAAAACTTTGAAATTGTCAAATCATCACTCAAGCTGACTTGTGCCCCAAAATCCAGAGCTGTGCATAAAAATTGTCTAAGT